TGGCAAGCGAACAATGGGGAAAAGGTATCCGAGAAGGTTATTTTCGAGAAGCCATATGACTTTTAATAAGAGTCACCTGTAGTAGAGTTAAGGCAGGGGCTAAGCATGGAATAGAGTCTCGAATATGCTCATCGCAAGTTCCTCCTAGGATTCCGAGTAAATATAGGTAGGCAGTGCCACCGCGAAGTCTGAAAATCATACTATTATTATCCCACATGACTATGTCTGATCATGACTATACCTGATGCATACCTACCTTGTTTATGCCTCTTACTCCGCAAGACATTATATGCGGGGCCCCGATCACCCAGGCTACCCAAGCACGGCATTTTGAAGTTGTCACGTAGCCGGGTTAACCAATCACGGTCGAGAATTGACCAGGTTGGCCTTTCTCGGACAGAGATAGGCCGGCGATACTGGTTTAAGCTTGGTACATCGCCGTAGCCCCCGGCGCTGAATGTTTCGATGGAAGAATCCCTGTCTATTTTGAGTTATTGTGTTGTGAACAACCAAATATAGGTTCAAGTCAAATATCTTAGGCACATTACCTAGGAGGTACTCAATTTTTTTTACCAACTCAATAATAAACAACTATTTATCATCTAGTTAGTATTTACTTATAACTTACCTTATAGACAGTCTGGTGCTTCTTCTCTATAAACTGGCACTAGGTATACCTTCTTCTTCGTCCTCTTCTTCCAGTCCCGATCCGCTACCTTGTCTTTCAGACTCAAACCCGGCCTCGTAGCCATCTCCTCCAGCCTCGAACTCATAACCAGGTCTTAGGAGACAGCAAATCTCATGACGGCCAAGCTCTATTGCCAATGGAAACGCTGATAACCCGTCCGCATTTACCGCATCTGGGTTTGCTCCTCCCTCTAGTAGCAACTTGGCTATCCTATATTTCCCCTGGTAGACTGCAGTTAGCAATGGCGTAAACCCGTCATTGTCCGGCCTTTCGGTATCAGCCCCTGCTTCGAGTAGCATCCGTACGATTCCTTCGTCGCCGCCAAAAACAGCAAGATGGAGAGGTACCAGCCCTTCGCGCGTCTCAATGTTTATATCAGCCCCCTCCTCGATTAGTATCTCGGCTGTATTTCCTTCTCCATAATCAGCAGCAAGGCAGAGCGGAGTGTTCCCTAGCCTATCAGTTGCGTTGATATCGGCTCCTTCTGCAAGAAACATTCTGACCATATCGCATTCGCCGAAATATGATGCTACATGGAGTACGGTCTTGCCCTTCGTGCCTCCAGGTTTATTGACGTCGGCGCCATTATCGAGAAGTAACCTGCAGATTTCCTTTTGATACCAGCCAGCTGCTACGTAGAGGGGAGTCATATTTCCCTTTTGGTACCCATTAACATCCAAACCGTCGGAAAGAAGAGCCTGGACTTTGTCGATACGTCCTCGAGAAATAAGGTCTAGAGCACGGGTAGCTGCGAATTCATAGTTCGTTTTCTCCCCTGCCTGAATTTCTTTCCTTGTCTCGCGAGATTGGTCTTTTTTATCCTGCTTCGCCCTCTCAACTATTGCGTCCCCGCCATCGGTTTTCCCTATTAGCATTTGTTTTACCGACTCCTGGTCCATTAAACATGCTGCTTCTAAAGGGGTCCACCCGTCTTTATCGACCACATCAGCCTTAGCACCTCGCTCAAGGAGCAGTCGTACCATATCATCCCGTCCATTCAATGCAGCAGCGTGAAGCGGCGTCCACCGTGAATTGTCCTCAGGATCAACTTCAGTAGTTTTATCAAGTAGGAGCTTCATGACATCTTCACCTCCATCGTAAGCTGTGGCGTGAAGTGGAGTTATACCATCTCGATTGCCTAAATCAGGCTTCGCTCCCCGACTTAGAAGTAACTTCACTGTGTCCTTATATTCACTTGGTGCGGTCCAATATAGAGCAGTATATCCGTCCTCATCGGTCGAATCGATATCGGCTCCGCTATCTAACAGCTTAGTTGCTATTCCATGATAGCCTGATGGGGCCGCCGAGTCAAGTGGCGTCCATCCCCATTTGTTCTTTAGTTTTGGATCGGCGTTATGATCCAACAACTTTTCCACCGCAGCTTCAAGGCCTGCCTCTGCCGCATAATGCAAAGGTGTCGATCCATCTCCATCTTTTGCGTTAATGTCGACGTTTGCTTCGGTAATAAGTATTTCGATCACCCCAGCTAAACAGGCACTGTTAGTTCGGCATCATATAGGGGGCTTAGGGGTTTGACTTACGCAATCCGGTACAATACAAGACTCTGGCGTTGTCAGTTGGCTGTTCTCTTCCCCGTTCCTCCCACTCCCTGAACTTCTCATTGTCAAATACCCATTGCCCTATATTGGGCATTCGCCTGACTGAATATTGTTGCTGTTTTTCTCTATAGGACGTATCCACTGATATAGAGGACAGAATCTTATCATCTTTGTTCTGCTTGATCCATTTGAAGAGGTCGATTTGCATGTCTCTTTCAACTTGCTTGTCTAACCTCTTGCGAGCACCTTCAAATGATTCCTTACTCATAACCCATGACTCGCTGACTGTTTTACGAAGTATTGATTTGTCTAAATTCTCCAAGCTCGCATTTAGGAAGTTGGTGGTCTCTATTAGGAATTCGCATGCTCTTTCTACTAGTTGGGAACTGTTATCGAGTTCGCGGAGATTCTCGAGAAATGGCCCATGGTCATTCAACGCTTCTAATTGTTGTATAACATCTTCTCCCCGCTCGTGCACGTCCATGGCAGCCGAAAGAACTAGCTGTAAGCCGTTGGCGGCGATTTTCACGGGTGAAAAGGATGCAGCATCCGCACCAAAGGAAACGATCCCAAGAACCATTCTAGCGACGGGGTATAGTTTTGCTGCATAGCGTGTTATCTTTCCGCGTATCGTCTCGTCTCGTAGGAACCGTTGTTTAGTTACCACACTTTCAACGTACTCCCCGAATATCATCCCGGATTGTGGTGAAGTGCCAGCTTCCCGCATAGCGCTTATCATACCCTCGGTAGTAAACTCAACTCCCCGGCTTTGATTACGTCTTTCGTGCTCGATGATTGTGTTATTGAGCCTTTCTGTGGCATCCTCTAACTTTGATTTAATCGCCTTGACTTTGTCTTGGCTCAAATGTTCGGTACTGAAAAGCTGGAGCCCGATATTCCCTGTCGAGGTATAAATACTGTGGCTATATGAATATCAAAGTTCAAGGTAGGATAACCTAGCGACGGTATTGAAGCCGAGACGTCCTCCCCAAGCCTATCTCCTATAATTTGATCATGAGAGGCTAAAGTAACAGGCAGGGAGTGGCTATCTCGAGTTACGGTAGGCGGTTGATTTTTGTACGGCGTAAAAGGGCGGCTGCGTGAGCTCTCACCCTCACTACTCGTCTCACGTAAGCTTGGAAATTCTCTTCGAAAAATCTTCCGAAAAATCCTATGTTTCGAGGATGGAGCCATGATAGACGATGCGAATGTGAATGAAGATTCGAGGTCGAAAAGCTTAGATGGAATTTAAGGCATGAGGATTGCGCGGTTTCGGGGGTTTAAGCCATGCTTAACCAGAATAAAAAGGAGAAGGCTTACTACGTATCATTGAGAGTGGCCAGCTGAAAAAAGAGAATGAAACCTAATAATTGGCTGTGGTTATCACCCCTAACCGCTATTCGGTTACAGCACAGCCTGGCTGCCTTGGCCCCGATTGGTTAGAAATACACATCCAGGTAGCTGTCAAACTATCTGTGTGAGGTTATAGATACTGCCTGAAGTGTCCGCATAGAGCTAAGTATGACTTAATCCCTAGTTAGACTTATCCAAAATTAGATGCTGTCATTCTACTTTAAAACGTCGATTTGATGTCGTTAGAATCAGGCGTTTTATCAATTACTACGCAGCTCTATATTGGTCACTTGAGTACAATATAAGGGGCTAACTGATGTATGACTTATAGGGAGAATGAGCGTGATTCGTGAAGAGAACCTTTGGAAGGACCTGATACCTAGGTAGGTACCTATGTAAATATTCCCGTATGGCATAGAATCTTTGTGGCATATATACCTGTTTTGTTTATTTTAGAAGATAGGTAGTAACGAGACAAGCCAAAGGGATATAAAATGCATATTTTCTAACGGAAGATGCTTATTATAAATTCATCTGGACTTGATATGCCTCTATCAGGTAGTCTAGACGATGTCTTATAAACTTCAACATATTGATGTTAGGTCTGGATTAGCTCGCCTGGGCTTTCGTAATCCAGACTACCAACTGGAGGCTCCGAAATAGTCCGCTTGGATAGGCCAATATGTGAAAGAAATATGGATCCGACCCCTTTGAATACCTACTATACTGAGCCGCTAGCTCGTAATGTACGCATTACTACTGAGATAGCTCGCCAGCTGCCACGCCCGACATGTTAGGGACTCTCTTAGAAGTCGTATTGGCTCTGGAAGGTAGGTAGTTATGTCACCAACTAATCATGTGAGACCTTAGGCCAAAGCTGAGTCTGAAGGGACTCACGAAGAAAAAACAAGTGTCATCTACGAACCAGCTGTAAACGTCCGGGGGGTAGGGGAAAGGTAGTGACCTACGTACCTAACAACCATCACGTCAAATAAGCAAACACGTCACTACCTCCTATCGTACCTTAGGTATAGATTACACATTTGCTTTATATTCGTTTCAATAAATATAACACATTCCTCCTTTGAAATTAAATTATCTACCCCCAATTGTATCGTCGATGCATGTATGTTTCACCGCAGATTTACATTCTCGCCCCTTTTCATAAGGCTATAGCGGTCCGCCGACATCACTTAGTCTCGAACATATGGTCGACTCGTAAATACACATCTCATCACACAATAACAAGCTAAGCTCCAAGAGCATAATTAATTTCAACACGTCTCTTCCAGCGCCGTCCGTAAGGAGCCTTCGCTATCTTTAATATCCGTGAGACCGCAAATCTATTCGCCCCTTACCTTACGCTTCAATATGCTGATCATATACACAGAGAAACTACAATGGATAAAGAACCAAAATTATCCTTATCCCCCGGCCTAGGTACCCGGGCAGAAAACGGCTACGATTCCATACTGGACATCATGGCCGAGATGCGCTATCAAGGCGTCGACATCCCCCCTATAGTGCGCGCCCTCGTGAGACAGCTCTACATGAGAGCCTACTCGGCGGAAGAGCATAGTGATCGTCTAACTGGCAAGTATCAACGGCTGCAAGCCGAGCACGCCCAACTCGTTGCAGAGTTCAACCGGTACTGCAAGGACTCCAAAGAAGCGTGGAAGATCAAGGCCAACAAGATTCTGTACGACGATATGCAGAAATCCGTGGATGCTCTCGTCGACGCTAATAGAGAGTCTCGGGAGACGATCAAGAGCATGTTTGATGAGAACTTGACTATGAGTACTGAGGTCATCGCGCTGAGAAAGGAGGTGGCAGAGTTGAGAAAGGAGAATGGTACACTGACGGCGAAGGTAGCTGTTAAAGGCTCTGAAATGTGAAGATGGTGCTAATTATGAATATTTGGTCTTTGGAAATGTGAGTTATAAAGTGAGCGTTCCGTTGAATATCTTCTAATATGTAGGTAGGGCCACGCGGCGGATGTATCATCATGAAGGAGCTTAATCTTGTCACTGTTTAGGTAGGTAATTATGCTATAAAATACTTCAGTTCGAAGGTAAGATACAAAGGGCGCTATGGAAAGTGATATTGCGGAAAAGCCCACTGGGATTTATAAGTTATCACATCGTTACTGCGAATGCAGGATACCCTCGGGAACGCTTCCCCCGTATCATTTGAAAAGGGGAAGCTTCGGCTTCCGTTGGTTAAGAAAATGAATAATTTAACTATCTGAAAGGGTATCACTAGCCTAAACCTATCTATCTTTAAGCCAACCCAAATTAATCCTACGCCTCTATCATGCGGGGTATTGGATCTATCTATTCCCAAACGTCCCAAGAAGCATATTGGAAGCCTTGGTAGAGGTCACCCTGGCGTTTTTCGACACCGAGATGGAGCCCCGTGCGGCTCTAATTCCCCTTATTGCCGGATATCGACACCGATGCTCGCAAAATATGTACAATGGGTTTGGGTGTCTGAGTCCACGGTTTCCATGGTCGTATTGCCGCCTGTCTGAAATAAGAGCCGGTTCTGTTTTTCCTCATCCCATTTCCTCCAAACTGCTGAGCCGGGGTGTCGGTGCGTATTCGGATCAAATGTACGGATGAAACTCGTCCAATACGCCTGGATGACAGGGATGACCGGAACGTTAATGCCGCCATTCTCATAACTCGCCGGTGCACCCCCAGCATTATCCGGGCCCCATATTGCTGCCAGCTCTACAGTATGAGGCACCCCTAGCCCCTGGGCGACTTGGTCCGGATCCTCGACATTGTAGCGGTAGTTGTATGAGCGGCCAACTCCGTATTTCCTCATTGCTGAAGATATGTATAGCCCCGGGCACATATACCTCATATCGCCATAAACGTCGCTGACCTGGCGCCAGTAGCAGCCGGTGCTAGGGCAGCTGTCATTCTTATTTGGATACATAGAGCTGATCTTGTCTAGTTGATCTTGAGTTAGGTAGGGAAACTGAGCACGCAGAAACGCCTCACTTTCGGCAAGCGTCGACGTGCTACTTGGCGTGAAGACTGTCCCTCCATTGGTATCATCGCCGTAGATAACGGGGATCTTGACAAACTTGCCTTTGGCGAATGAGTTGTACGTGTAGTCCGTGAGAAAGTCGTTGTCGAGTACCGGGTTCCAAGAATACAATGGCTTCGACATCTCACCTGGATAAGGCAAGCCTGTATTTTGGCTCTGGAGTTCCGTAGCAGTCTTATTTCTCAAACAGTCGAGAGAATAAGAACCCGAGCATCCGACAAGGGCCGAGAAATTATTATAAAGGTACTGGCTTTCATTGACGGTAAGTACCGTGGCGAATGATACCGACTCGGCCGCAGCGGCGTGGAACAAGCCGGTATTCTTGCCATCGTATGCTACCATTTGAAGACTGACACTAGCAGCGCCCGCCGAGTCGCCGCCTAGAACCACGTGCCCCGGATCACCACCAAACTGGGAGATGTGGTCTTGTACCCATTGAAGTGCTTTCCGCTGATCGCGCAGCCCATTATTAGGCGTAATTTTATCCCCATTAGTGATAAATCCGTAAAGACCTACACGGTAATTAAAGGTAACAACGACAATGGAGTTCCCACTGGCTTCAATTAGACCGGATCCATTAAGATTCGGATTGCTGAGAACATTGAATCCTCCGCCCTGGATAAAGAAGTATACAGGTAAATTGGAGTGCCGAGTCGCGTTGGTCGGCGCATATACATCGAGAAATAAGCAATCTTCATCGTGGCTACTGTCCGGTGGGGAAGTGCCTGTTGATAGGCAAAGCTTCCCATGCTATTATAAAGGCGAGGTCTTAGCAAGGGATTCTCAATATGAATTCGTAGCTACTAGGTAGGTGCCTATAAATAAATTCGAGTTAGGAAACACGCACCTGATCGGCTACTTGTGTCGTCTTATTGCATGGCGGATCCTGCGGAGGCATAAACCTCAGGTTACCGACGGGGGGCGCGGCGTACCGTATGCCAAGCCATTGCGTGATGCCGTTCGGGGTAGCTACGCCGACATACTTATTGCATGTCAAATCGACAGCAGTATCAACAGCGACTACAAGGCAGCACAAGTGGCACAGCACGAGAATAGCTACCTTTATCGTGGTCATTGAAGTTCCACGGGCCTCGGAAAGCTCCGAGCGAGAACTGGACGATGTGTAGCGTGGATTAGGGAGGGAATGTAAGAAAGCTGCATTATCTAGGGTATAGATATCGCGGACTTCATATACTTGATATAAGAAGGGGAGAGCATACTTGCATACTTGAGATAGGGTAGTGAATGGAGACCAGAGGGCGGGCTAACAAGCATTCCACGACATCATCTGACGGGATTCCACTCCGCCTTACGCCCTCTAGCTCCGAGGTCTGTTCTCACCTCCCTGAACTCTTTCTTTGTCTCCCATGCCTTTCATGCCTCCCATGTCTCCCATGTCTCCCTTTTTTGAGGTCCGAGGCTGCGTGACCCTGCAAGCTGACGGCATTCTATGTTGTTGGACAGCCGGTGCATAGTCTCTCGAGCCTAGACCAAAGAGCGCGAGTAGCGTGAGCAATCAACAGTATGGCCGCGTGACTTATAGACTGTAGGAATTCAGGTGCTAGATGGCAGGATGGTAACATTAAGCGCCGCCGTTGTGCGGGTCGCGGAACGCCACGCACAACGGCATGTTGACTCTAGACCCTGACTCTAGACGAGAGATGCAAAAGTTGGAGAAGTTGAAAGTAAAGAAGTACTAACTACCTCTAAGTACAGATCCATATGTTAGCATCGGATTACCTATACCTATCTTAGTAGGTACCCTTAGCCTTTTAGGAGGTATGTTTGCTGGTTTGTGGGGGAACAGGGGATTGATTAAACTTTTTAGCATTGTGATGTGCTGTGACGGATGATAGATAGGTGATGGCCCTTGCGAACCGTAAACTCAATCCGGCGATTCATCAAAATGTGGGACTCTTATTGGGGAACCCCAGAACAAAGTTTTATCTATCGTTGGCCCAATCGGCACTTAGGGCTGCTAAGCTAACGAACCAAATGGGTTCCGATGGTGGTACAAGGCGCAACGTACATGCACCTAACGTATGAAAACAGTTAAATCTTGGCTCCCCTTGCAGATGGCTTGCATATATCGATAGCGGGATTGTCTTTAATACGTTAATACGAGAGATTGGTAAACATTTGGGGTAAGTTATTGTTTACTGTTTACCTACCTAGGTACCTACCTAACCTAAGGTATTGTTCTTTTTCGTTCGGATGTTGCAATATTGTAAGCTACCAAAATCAATTATTTACTTACCTTAGGTACAATACCAGGGGATGACCAAGATATCCAGCAATAGCCGCGTAAGTTCTTACACATAAAACACATAAAGCACATAATCATTGACCCTTCAGCAAATTACTCGATGCCACCCTGCCAAGTATTTTTAATAATAATTACCTAAGGCCCTTACCTTGACTTATACGCGACGTGATTATGCAAACGTACTAGGGACCTAAGTATGTATGAGACTACACCGTTGTTTTTGAGCTTGGACAGTTCGTGTTTTATACATACTGTAGTATCTCTTGGCAACGTCTTATAGATCGGATCTTCAAGCCTATCAAGTCTTCTCAAGTTGGAATGAGGTAGGTACCCAGCTAAGTATAGAGTATCAGAAATCAGAGCCGCTGTCTCGCATCAATTTCTCGTCGGATCGTCTGAAACTTGTAAAAACGCATTTTCCTGTGAAGCTCGGCTAAAACACCTAAGTGTATTAAAAATGCAGCCTGAGTCGGTGGAAATGAGGCCCAAACTTGACTACCTACTTGCTCTTTTAGTTGATGTGGTGTCAGGTACCTAACATACACGTATTCCGTATACAACTATACGATAGCCCCTGGACGATGCAGATTACCGACGACAACATAATTGATTCCCTGTTCTAATCCTATAAATACCTATCTTGGTAATCTACTAAGGCTGTGTACATCCCGAACGTTGCAGCTCGTATAACCTCGCCTATGCAACCATCTTTCTAAACCCTCCCAGTAATTTTATTCCGCGTAGCATTTATCGGTGATTTTTCATCTCATAGCTTAGCTATGGTATGTTACAGATGATTAAATTCAAGCCAAACAATAAAGATTCACCATATATTACAAATGTCAGTTTATAGTCGTAGTGAATTACCTAATGACTGTATATGTCTTTACGAATGTTTCTACAACTATATCACTAATTGTTTACTTTTAACGAAGACTTATAACGCCCAATTGGGTAGCTTCGGGCTTTAGGTACTTGTAAGCTCTCCGTTCGTCCCGAAGGCGCAGCAGTCGTAAACAATTGTCAAAGCTCCTAATGCTTTTTTGAATACGGTTATCATTGCATTACAGTTCATGGGCTGTCTCATACACGCTTTATCATGCTATTATATCACGTTGTCGTATCCGCACACCATAGCCAACACACACATAAGAGTCCAATATGTAAATGCGGCTGGTTTTCTCAAACACATGCACATGTTCGGGCTTATATTAGTAATAACGATAAATATATATGCTATCCTCAGTCGAATTAAGCAACAAATTTACAAGACATACTTATACGATAACATCGAATTTACACCCAAAGTTACGGTTATGATAACTCCATTGTTCTTCTTGGTCTTCAAGATCGTACGGCAAACCAGAGACTCTTTAATAATAGCCCTATGACACCAACAACTCCGTAATTCAAACAATACACCCTTAAGACTATATTTCAAAATGTCTTTATTCTGAGTTATCCTCGGGTCTCATTATGGACGTACGTCATAGTTTAGGGACCAAATCTTATGCTACTGTTGATACGAGGAATAACATACCCCATATGCTTGGCATTTCTGATAACTTCCGATGAAACTTGTTGAGCTCTACCATCGACCTCCACTATGGTATCGTCGCGAAAGGCTTAGACCACGGTAGCATCATGTATACGAACAGGTTAACAAATTCCCATCTACTTCGTATTTTAAGCAAAATCACAACTTTGAGACTGTTATTATTTATATACGTGAAGAGAAAGATAAAGAAAAGGGGAAAAAATACCTAAGCTCAGCATCTCCGTATCCGGAGGAATGTCTACGCCGGCGAAGTTCATTGTTTCGGTTATCGGGTCAATGATGCTCGACTATTTACCGTCAAAGACCGAGTACGCCGGGCGTCAAAACCGGCGGTCATGATCACAAGCATGGCAATTGGTCCAGACCGATCTATGTCTACCAAAGTAAGATAAGTCCTGCGTGTGACCTTTAATCCTTGACAAACACGCGGCGGCGTGCGGAGTAGAAACCACCATTCTGGTATAGAATGAGGGAGCATCCTGGTCCTTCCCACTTACTCCTCATCGCCGGACCTGGCTCTCGGTAACACACCTTTACATCATATGCTTCGCTTATATCACAAGCCGTCGTCAAGTTGCGGGTTAGAAAAGGGTATCTTACCATACTACAGGAAGCATCACAATGGGTGTGACCAAAGCATCGGCAACAGAAGCCGAATATGCAACCCCATTGCCAGACCCCAATCAGGAAGGACGTGATGGCAATGGCAGCAAAGACATCGCAGCCTCGTTTCTCGCCAAAAATGTTGCCGGGCAGAGGATATCCATAACTCCTGCCGAGTCGGCGCGTGTCCTACGACGCATCGACACTGTCATACTCCCTATCATGCTGACAGTATACTTCCTGCAAGGCCTCGACAAGACGACGCTTGCATACGCTTCAGTATTCGGACTAATCGAGGACACTGGACTTGCGGGCAACCAATACAGTTGGCTGGGCAGCATCGTATACCTAGCACAGCTTGTCATGCAGCCACCGCTGGCATGGTTGCTCGTGCGCTTACCTATCGCCAAGTTCACAAGCACTATGGTGCTCCTATGGGGTATCTCGCTCACCTGCATGGCATCTGCGCATAGCTTTGGCGGCCTGCTAGCTACGCGTTTCTTCCTAGGCGTGTTTGAGGCGAGCGTTGCGCCTAGCTTTGTTGCTATTACGCAGATGTGGTGGAGGAGACGCGAGCAGACTGTTAGAACTAGTTATTGGTAGTAAGTATACTCTAAATTTATCTGATAGGCTGCATATTCTCGCTGAGGAGTATAAGGCGCTTCTGGTAGACTTGTACTAGAAGCATCTGCATACATAAGTGTATTGCGACTTCGAAGACGACCCCTGAGGACGGGCAAGATAGGATCAACTATGTTAATATTATACCCTTTAGTGCCATGAATGGATTTACGAATATGGTGAGTTAGATCCAGCATCTTATGAATGGGGGAGTTGACTAAAGACAACGAAGTTCGGCAGTTTAATCACCTATGGTCTTGGCCACATATCATCACAACTACGTTCCTACCAGGTAATTGAGCATCATTAATATGTTGCCATCTTTCCTACTACGATGGCTAACGATAACACATAGATCATATTCCTGTTTTTCGGAATTATCACCGTTGCATTTAGCTTTGTCATGTTGGCCTTTATGCCAGACTCACCGGTAGAGGCAAAGTTCCTAAACGACGAAGATAAGCTAATAGCCGTTGAGCGGTTGCGCATGAACCAAATGGGAGTAGTATCACGCGAGTGGAGAAATGACCATTTAAAGGAGGCCTTACTAGACCCTAAGTCGTGGCTCTGGTTCGCACTGTTATTCTCGATCAGTATCCCGTCTGGCGGGATCTCAACATTCGGACCGTTAATAGTGAAGACTTTTGGATTCGATCCATTCGGGACTATCCTCTTCAATATCCCTTTTGGGTTCGTACAGCTAGTCGCGACTGTTGGCGGGGCTTTTGTGGCTCAGAAAATCAAGATGAAGGGGCCTGTTATCGCCGCGCTTTGTCTGCCCCCTATAGCTGGCTGTGTGATGCTTATGGTACTTCCCAGAGATGTTTCTCACCGAGCACCCCTTTTAGCTGGGTACTACCTCATATCTGTTTATCCAGGAATTAGTGAGTACTATAGACTATAGTGAGACGTCCCCGGGTCGAACGCTAACAAACGCTTCAAAGCCCCGCTCGTTTACTCCTGGGCATCGCAAAACACGGCTGGAGATACCAAAAAGAAGTGTACCAATGCCATACTTTTCATCGGTCAATCCGTGGGAAACGTAGTTGGTCCGATGTTATACTCACAGACAGAAGCGCCAGGCTACGCCAAGGGCCTGCGTTCGAACCTAGCGCTCTATATTGCAATCATCGCACTAGTCGGGATAACTACTACATACCTCAGGGTTCTGAATGCGGCACATGCTAAGAGACGGGTTGCTATGGGTAAGAGTGCTGTTATCGTTGATACCAGCCTAGACTCTGCAGAGGTGGCAGCGGCGCAACAAACTGGCGATGATGTGGATAAGAACACTAGGAACGCCGAGGAAGGTGATGTCGCTGCCGCTTCTAATGAGGATGTGGAAAGGCCCGGTGAGAGAGCATTTGAGAACTTAACTGACCTCCAGAATGAGGAGTTCGTCTTTGTCTTCTAAGGGCCTGGGGTATTTTAGTATTTTCTTGAAAAAGCTTTTATGATATTCCGAATAGTTATTCAGAATAAAAGTACACTCAAGTTTAATAGTTCTATTATGTCCCGGGTGAAATCGAGGAAATATTATATAAGGTAACTACCTAGCACATTCGCGTAAAAATAGTTAAATTTCTGTTTCTTGCTTGTACTGTACTACTAATAGGTGTAACGAAGCTTATAGAGCTACTAAGACTACCGCCAGAATTATTTATTATACGCAGGCAGTCGTTTTCTTCTCGTAGATCTTCAAGATTTTGAATCGGTTGGCCATGTTGTTAAACTCGTAAAATCTCTAAGCTCGCGTGTAAATAACCGTCTACCTCAAGCCTATTGTAGTCATACTATATCAACAAGTGTGTTCTACAGAGTCTTATTTTGATGCTATATAAATCCACTTATACTATGACAAGAATCAAATATTATTAATCGTAGGGTACTAGCTAGATGCGTTGTATTTGAAGCACAGATGCGCCTTGTTTTGAGTTTAGGGTATTTCAAGGTGCAATGGTGCTCTAGAGCCATGACTCTCTACTATTTTATCTATTCCTAATGGCGACTATTCTTAATAGGTTGTATGATTAGTTTCTTGGACACTCCATTTTGCTAGAACCTTTCATGACCACAACGTATATGACTCGTATAACCAAAGCATTTAACTCTTCGTATTTGACTTGCCAGCCAGGGAATACACAGCTAAATTACCCGTAAGTTGCTTCATTTTAAGCTTCCCATCGTTGGGAGTGACAACCTGTCTCCTAATTTGCAGTTCAAAGGATAGTGGTGTCTGGGTGCCTACTTACTACTAAGTCCTCTAAGCATGACGAATTTAGGCAAAAGACGCAACTTGACCAAGTAGCAACTTATGACTAAAACAGTAAAATTTTCAAACTGAAGTACGGTACTCTTCACTATGCGGTTAATCCGTTCGACATCTTCGTCTTGGTAAAATCATTCGATCCATCGATCATCGACGATCTCTCTGCTGATGACGCCAGTCGTCACCCAGTCCCGACTTTCGGTCGCTAAGGCTATTAGCGTCACGGGAGACCTGCAGATCTAGATCAGCAAATCAACCTATTGTTGAGATTACGTAGTATCCGAGCCGCAAGTTAGCCTACCAGGTTACGGATGGCTCATGAGGAATTCGGATCCTGGTTCTGGGGTTTGACAAGCCAAAGAGAACAAGTTTCTACCCACACCAACCCATAGCTCTGACGCAAGCCACATAAAGTATGCGTTCATGTGGCGTTTCTTCCAAGGTAAGCATACACTACTATCTTACTAGAGGCATTACATCATATCGTATAGTGTGGCTCGTGAAAATATAGGAATAGGAACGGCCCTCTTGAGAATATAAATTGAAGCAAGTTCCGACCTATTTCAACAAGTATTCATTATGTTCAATTTATAATCTTAATCGATCTAAAAACTTCCAAAACTCCGATCGCTTGTTTCACTTGATTAGCAAATCACAACCTACAAACCTCAAACCTCAAACTACACAACCCACAATGTCTAACAACCAGAACGGTGGACTCCTCGGTGGTCTAGTCGGTGGAGTCGACAATGTCCTTACAGGGGGTGAGAAGGCTAACGGACAAGGCGGTCTACTCGGAGGCCTCGGCGGCGCCGTCGGCAACACGACGGAAGGACTCGGCAAGGGCCTGAACTCGACCACTAGGGGAGTTGGAAGCGCCGTGGGTCAGACCACCGAAGGCGTTGGCAATACTGTAGGCGGCGTGACAAACTCTGTCGGGAACACCGTTGGCGGTGCCACCGGCGCGGGCGGAGCCGCTAAGAAGAACGACAACAGTGCATTTAAGAGTTACGGCATCTAGAAAGGCGAGAGAGTTGGCGCATAATGGGATATGATGAACGAGTATTTGATGAACCTAAGACCTGGAAATCGGATTTTGGCTTGAGAGAAATATCGGACGTTTAATAAAACGACATTTTAAATCTCAAATTTAACTTAAAGATATAACTAGGTACTAGTTATCTTGAATAGCGAAGATGCTTATAATACTGGATTGGCGTTTTAAATATTTTCTTGGTTAGAAACTTGACTGCGTTGTGCCATTTGGTGATAGGTAAAAGGGGTGATAGTTGTGGCTCCCGTGGCTGTATTGTGTTGTACGTGGAGCTTTTCCGTGGCTTGACTGTCCTGTGTGAAGTCCCCCAAAACTTACCTTAGGTAACCTGCCTAGTGTACCTAAACTTAACAAACCTGGTTATCGATTAGTGGGGGTTACTAACACGTTGGTACCTAATATGTACCTAATTCGCGAACTTACATGTGCTTCGGATAATAATACATTAGACATCAACTTCATAATTGAGCAGCAATTGGGCCGTTCGACGTGTCCCAATCGCGCCAATTGCCTCATATGGCAACCAACGAGGATGAAGATGCGTCGTATGTCGACTACGACGCCTTTCTCGACCCGGATTTTAGCCCCTCTTCTTTTGCTAACAGCCTCGTCCTCGCTACAAATAACCCCAACGATACTCCCCTAGACCTCTCAACACCGTTGTCTAAAGTGCTTTTCGATGCCCAAGAGGTCGACTCTCATATTGACCTTCTTACTACCCGATCCGCGATCCCTCTTTTAACGTATACCAAAGAGCAGACAGAAGCGAGTGGGAAGATAATATCCGAAATCGATAATCAGGTTAAGAGCTTAAACGAAAGCTATAAGCAATTGGAAAAGGAGGTTATACAAAAGCATGCCGAAGCCGACGAAGTACGCCAAGTTGCTGCCCGGTTATGGGAAACTCTGAAGCTGGGAAGGTCTGTTGGTCGCTGTCTTCAGTTGGGTCGGCAGCTTGAAATCCAACATGCCGAAATATCTAGTTCAGCGTCTGCTACTACAACAACTAGCAGTAGCAAAAAAGAAGATCATAGAGCACTAGTACGCTGCGCACATACTATTTTATCCTTGCGGGAAATACTCGATAAGAAGGCATTAGGAGAGGAAGGCTATGGGCTCGATAAAGTCAACGCAATCAAGAGTTTACAAGAAAATGTCGTGGGCCCGATCGAAAGATCTGTTAAGAACACCTCTGAACAAATTATAAGGGAATTCAGCATTGGATCCGCTTCAGGGACAGCCACCTTCGCACAGAGCGAGGAGGTCAAAGCCCGAACGATATCAGCCGTTATTTCTCTGTACCTCATATCGCCCATCACCGGCACGAAGCCTGATAAATGGACTCCTCAGCTACTCCTACAAATCCTCGAAGTATATTTGCGCAACGCATTACAAAGCTCCGTCGCATCGCTAGCTAGGTCACTTGCGACACTACCGTCTCTTGACCGGACTTTGGCGGAAATTTCTGCGCGATGCCAAAACATAATCGCCTTAGAGATCATCCTCGCTTCAACAAGTGCGCCCGCGCATCCACTCTTACCGGCGCACAAGCATGCGTTAGATAAACACAATCTTCTACAGCCTCTGCTGGCATATTTAGAGACCGGTTCGCTTGCATCTTACTTTTGGCGGACTATGGCGAGCAGCTTGGCAACGCGAGTTCAAGAGATTGTAAACCGCGGGGGCGTTTCAGCTCGTACGTTGAAGTCGAATCGTAACAGCGTAGGAGAGGCCATCAGAGAATGCGTTATCCGAGGCAGTCAGCCTCCTAGCACCGTTGTGGCTGCCAAGGGGAAGACCCCTAAAGGAGATACCGAAAAGAGTGGCAGTTGGGATCGCGAAGTAGCGGTGATGGTTAGTAGTGTCGTTGGAAATCTTGGCAGATGACACCAATATGTACGGAACACATAGTCCAAGCGCCTACCCCGTGGAGCGGTACTAGAATTATGGATCGCTAGTATAAACAGACCCTCTGAAGTAACTATTGATGCGAACCCCCTTTTTTCAGGGGAATACCTAACAACAGGCTTCACCACCCTTGTAAAGGGTATACATATGTCGGTCGGCAATGTCAAAATCTAACGCATGGCCTTACCAAATCTTCTATAGTAAAATCCAAAAAATTGAGTTATATATTGGCTAAGATCATTAGAGCCATATGTAGAGTGCAGGATTGAAAGCACTCCATATCGGCAGCATCGCGGGGATAACCGGGCCGTGAATGCCCTCATATAGCAATAACAGCATCTAATCCCGCAAATCAAAATCGCTCAGTGCTTGATCTAGCCGAGTCGATACGATGTATATTAAGTCAAGGCCACATAATACCTATTTACCTATATATCAGTTAAATGTGCTTGTTCTTAGAGAGTTTCTTTCGGCGGAGTTTATCGGGTTCTCAATATCGTGGTCTCACGGGTTGACTTACACAACAACTAACCTAGGTACCTAGATTATGTTGAAGTTGATGGCCTAACGGCTTGGTCACACTCTATGTAATAAGAGGCCCAAAGACGGGCCGTTTCACTGCAGTCAGTTAGAGACATAGGCCGGTCTCGAACACGCAAGCCGACATTATACTACGGTAGGTAGGTAGTTATGTATTCTTTTTCAGGGTGTTTGGATTATATATATATTGGATGCACCAATAGAGGCATATGAACGGTACCAGCAAGAAAGGTTTGCCTGGAGAAGTTGTATTATGGTGACATGTGAGTTATTTGCTGCTGTGGAGATGATTGCGTTTTGAATATGTAGGTATGTTAGGTAGGGGTTGAAAAGGTCCAATCGTGATCGATTCGATAGTGCTTATGGCACTTTATGTAGGTCCTATATGAGGTAGATAACTAGTAACTAGGCTGTGGAACTATTTCATATAAACCCGTTCGACCGATGGCCGATAACTCCTTTTTTTTTTTTTCTTCTGGTGTAGCTATTGGCGTTAGTGGTGTTAGTGGTGTTCGTTCTTCCCCATAGAATAACTTCCAACTACCTAGTATAAAAGGTACCCTCGTCCAGCCTCGGTGCTTTCCTTCTTGAAGTTACATTTAGGCTATTTTTTGCTAAGGTGTTACATGTCCAATACGTCATTGTTCTGTGGTACGTATCAATCCCGAGTTAGCTAGCCAGCTAGTCCGGGGTCCCCCCGCTGGCCAATGCTTTTCCATGCTTTTCCATTTTTTCCTTGTCCATGATGATGTCTTCCACAAATTCTTCCCAACCTGTCTTTCAGCATGTGCCAGCGTCACAGGCTCACAAAGTCTTACCCCACTACCGAACACATACATAGAAATACCATACATCTGCAATTATCTGCAATCACCGCAAATTACCTCGTCTGGGGAGTTCTGCAACCTGTAATAGGTTAAGCCCATCTAATTGCCCGTGGAACGTGCCTCTTATTCGACTTCTTCTACCATCCTCCTCGTTTAATTGAGTCCTCTACGGTTGGTTTATCATAGGTAATAAGCACATGCTTTTTTGTATTTTGGATGTATACACCTACATTTTTAATCTGCCCACTTTGAGCCCCGTACACTACGCAGAACTGAGAACCGCCAAATTTGAATCTGGGGACGAAGAAAGACCGAGATCAGATCACTTCGAGGCTGGCCTTGCTCGCTGTACCTAAGTCTGAGTGTAAGTGGGTTGCGTTGTTTGACACACTTCAAAACTTCCAAGTCTTCAAGTAGCCCACAGCCCACATCGCCTACACTAGGAGCAAAACCTCCCGGTTACATCTACCACACCTCCCGCCTATCAATAATCACTATCAGGTATCATCACTTTGCTTCTATTGCCCCACTATCGTACCTAAAGTTAGAATAAACCAATTATCACGACGACGATGACTGCCCCGCTATGAGTCCATGCCGTTCTGGCCTTCTAGCCTTCTAGATTCTGTTCTTCCACTACTTCCCCCTACTTTACCTTACTCATATTAGAACTTGAATTTGCCAATGCCTACCTGATCCTCTTTTCTACGTCCTTCTTTCTAGCCTTGACTGCCCTGTCGGTGTGGTACTTTGTCTGTCTAGTAATAACAGCCACCGCTTACATTCTCCCTCACTACCAACAACCCCTCTAATCTATCAATTTTTGCTATAGCCCTGTGCCTCCCCCCCTATCTCGCGTCACCGCTACATTTCTTTGTTTACTAGAACTTCGGAATCGCGACGTTACTCTACCATCTAATTCCTCAAGAAAAACAAAGCTGAACAATCATGGCAGAACGTACGCAAGAAACTGAGACCGCTGCTACCAACAACATCATAACGGAGGCTGAACAAATGTCCCTTTCCCCCCGCGAGTCGCTCACTGGCGGCAGTTCTCAACAAGAATCGCCTGATCTACCGCCTCACCTTCGAGATTCTATTACGAGGGTTCCTGTAACCCCAGGTATTCAATCCTCGACCTATTTAGCCAAAACAAGCACCGATTCCGTCAAGGCCGCGAGCCAAGGTTACTTTACACGGGATCCTGCCAACCAGAGCAGCGATGTGTCACAACCACCTCCGACAGAACCCCATTCAGACGGGTCTTCTCCGACGAATTTAGTAAAAGGTGCTACCTCGGACGAAGAAGTCTTACGGCGGATGAGTATTTCAACTAAGGGGCGAAGAGAGTCTATTTCGGAAATTCGAGCTGCTGCCCCTGACTTAGCTCTCAGTGGTAACATCATCTCGGTTACTTTTACAACGCCTTACTCTCTTAAGTACCGTAAGAATGGCGAATGGGTTAGTTTGATATGCCACGAAATATAAGCACGTCCCGAAGCTAACAGCTAGATAGGAATTGGATCATCGTCGCGGCCAATCTGCCCTTTTCGACTCCTTCTCTTATCTGTCGTCCGACGAAGCGCCTTGGAACCATACCGTAGTTGCATGGACGGGCGAGATTGAATCACCTCCCGAATCCTTGTCTACATCGGACGCCATCCCCGATACGACTGCTAATATTCCGGGTATAAGCCATCTTTCTGCTCCTATACCATTGGATGGAGAAACGCCGCCACAAACACCCCCCGAGGTTGACGGCTTATGGATTACGCGCGAAAGCCAATTGAAGCTAGAACAGCAATTATCCCATGACAGGCGCATCAAAGCAATTCCCGTGTGGCTTGCTGATGATAACGAGACGAGCGACGAGGGCATTACATTAAATAACCAGGGACGATGGCGGCGGTATGCTGAACACACGCTATACCCCTTATTTCACTACAAGCAACACGAACCTAACGATGGCCGCTCGGAACGAATCGAATGGGCCGACTACTTCCGTACTAACTTGAAATTCGCTGATAAGATCATTGAGGCCTATAAACCCGGGGATATCGTCGTTATTCATGACTATTATCTACTATTGCTTCCTAGCATGTTGCGGCAAAGAATACCGAACATGTACATCTCATTCTTCCTTCACTGCCCGTTTCCTAGTAGCGAGTTTTTGAGATGCCTGCCGCGGAGAAAGGAGGTTCTCGAAGGTATGCTTGGTGCCAATCTAGTCGGTTTCCAGTCGTACAGCTACTCGCGCCACTTTGCGAGCTGTTGTACCCGGATCCTTGACTTCCCTTCGGATTCTGTTGGCGTGGATGCTTACGGGTCCAGGGTTGAGGTCGGCGTCTTCCCGATTGGCATCGACGTAACCAAGGTAGAGCAGTTGGCGTGGTCTAAGGAAGTTTCGGATATGTACAAAGCTCTAAAGGATCTCTATAAGGACAAACAAATCATCGTGGGACGTGATCGACTGGATAGTGTCCGTGGTGTGGCCCAAAAGCTTATGGCATTCGAAAGATTCCTTGAACTTTATCCTGATTGGAGAGAGAAGGTGGTCCTAGTCCAGGTTACGTCCCCAAACACAATCGAGGAGGGAGGAGAGGAGCCGGAGAATAAGATAGCCAGCAGAGTCAACGAGCTGGTCATGAGGATCAACGGCACTTATGGAAGCCTGGGATTTTCCCCGGTGCAACATTATCCACAATACTTGTCGCCGGAGGAATATTTCGCGTTGATGAGAGCAGCAGACATCGGCCTGATTACGTCGGTCCGGGATGGCATGAACACTACCAGTTTGGAATATGTCGTTTGCCAGCGCGATACGCATGGTCCGTTAATACTATCGGAGTTTAGCGGTACTGCAGGTAGCCTGCGCGACGCCATACATATCAATCCTTGGGATCTTACCGATGTTGCCCACCAAATTCATCACGCTCTCACCATGTCCGCCGAAAAGCGCATGGCAATGCAGTCGAGCCTTTACCAGCACGTCAAGACTCAGAATGTTCAAGTTTGGATCACAAAATTCCTACGCAAGCTCGTCGGCACACTGGCGTCAACTAAGAACCAGAATGTTACGCCGTTATTGGACCGCACACTAATGCTGAAGCAGTACCGCCAGGCCAATAGGCGTCTATTTATGTTCGACTACGATGGTACGCTGACTCCAATTGTTAGGGATCCCCAGTCTGCTGTTCCTTCAGAGCGCGTTATCCAAACTTTGAAGGCCCTTGCAGCAGATCACCGCAACGCTGTCTGGATTATTTCAGGCAGAGACCAGGATTTCTTGCAGCAGCATCTAGGTCATATTTCAGAATTAGGTTTCAGTGCGGAGCATGGAAGCTTTATCAGACATCCCGGCAGCAAATCTTGGGAGAACCTAGCAGAGAAGTTGGACATGGGCTGGCAAGCAGACGTGGTCGAACTCTTCCAAAAGTACACCGACCGCGTGCCCGGTAAGCTCTCTCCGTACGACCGTTGTTTATAAATCCCACTAACTAATAATTTCTAGGCTCATTCATCGAGCGTAAACGATGCGCGTTGACTTGGCATTATCGCCAGGCTGATCCCGAACAGGGCGTCCATGCGTCTCTAGCACTACACAAGGAACTCGAGTCGACCGTGGTCCAGAAGTGGGACGTCGATGTAATGAAAGGCAAGGCTAACCTTGAAGTACGACCCACTTTCATCAACAAAGGCGAGATCGCTAAACGCCTGGTTAATGACTATAATTCCGATATTGCACACATAGCCTCTGGGCAGCAAATCGACAAGGGCAAAGACGGAAAGCTAGAATTCGTCTTGTGTATGGGTGACGATTTCACCGACGAAGACATGTTCAGGGCTTTGAACGGTCTCAGCGGTACACAAGTCGATAGGAGCCACGTTTTTACCGTTACCGTCGGTGCTAGTACAAAGGTCACATTGGCTAAGTGGCACATGCTGCAGCCGGAGGATGTCGTAGAGTCGATAGCTCTCCTCGCCGGAGTCGGACTGAGTGGCGAGGCGCACGAGCAACTAAGCCAAGTCAACCTTGCTACTGTTGCCGGACTCGAGGGCCGAGTACCTGAATGACTCGGCAGATCGAAGTTGTGATTATATTAGAAATAGTAGGGGGGCGTAGAAAAGCGTGGCGCTGGGTTGTTGGCTCAGGCTAGAAGGGTTCGTTCGTACATTTGAAATAAAGCACGCCTCTTTCACTCCCACGCAGAATAGCTTCAGAAAGAGAGCATAGAAAAGCAGGCGGCTCGACGTTCCGGAAGTTCCGGACGAGTTGGGTAACGGTCTTCAGATGACCTCGTTAATCTTAGAGCATAGGTAGACAACCCTCATCGGGGTCTAAATGCGCCGCGTTTAGACATAGATCTGTCTTTTTATCTGGGAGGAGACAGCCATCTACCTCGAGCAAGGGTATATACATAGATACGGTAGTTAATAGCCACCAAGCATACTGGGTTGGCAATCACTCAAGTTCCATATCTCTCTTAGCTTCCGTGAAATAGACAGAAAATAACTGATCGTCGAAGTAGACAGGGTTAAATACGGGGGCCAGTCAGTTACGAAACAACCCCCGACATGATTTGGAGCAATTCTCAGAGAATATGCGCGGACACATATATCGGTATGCTATAATAAGAGGTGGATAGATACTATAGAATACCTATAATATTATAAACCTCTGCGTAGTCGGAGGGGCTTGCTCGCTTATAGATAGAAATGTCGGCCCCGGGCGCGGCCGCGGCTCGGAGAAAAAGCCGAGAAGGAAAGGAAAGGAAATAGGGCTGGGGCCGTTTCACATTTATTGCGGAAGCTAAATACCTAGATTTCTATGTGGTCGGTCTAACGGCGGCCCCGTTTTGGTCGGGTGAGGTGGATGGTAAGGTGGTAGATAATTGGGGCGCAGAGTATAAGTTAGGTACCTATGTTGCGTTTCTCCGCGAGGGACGGTGCTACTGTAAGTAGGTACCTAGTTATACGTCTTATGTGAGGTGAGGTAAAGTGAGGTGAGATGTTCGATTGTGGTGATTGGAGGAGGGGATGGGGGGGAGGGGTGTGTACGGTGGACTGTAGATGCAACTCAGTCCACCGTAGTGTGTTCTACTATGTGCCTAGGTACCTATTCATATGTAGGCGTAAAATAGAAGCGGGAAGAGAAGAAGGGGATGTGCATGGACGAGTATGTAGGTACCTATCTAACCGAGCAACGTAGCAGCGCAGCGTAACCCTCATGCGAACAATTCCGCCGCGCCTCTTGTCAAAGGGTTAGGTAGGTTTAAGGTAGGCAAGCCTGGGGAATCATACAATTATACATTTCTGCATGTAGGTAGGGATAAGAATAGGTCAGCTGGTAGGTAGATAACATGAAACTATATCCCACCCGCTCCCGAACCCGTTCCCGTGGGTATGTAAGTAGAAGCGTGGCGTGGCGCACGGCATATACGGTCCGCTATGGTAGTATTGGCATGTCGGCACATCGAGGGTTCCGGCTGCAGTTGCATTCTTAAGATATCTAGCTTAGGTACGTAAGTGGCAGATACCTAAGGCAACGGAATAATTCCGTCGGAATTGTCGTGCGGCTGGTGTGCATAGGGCTATATCAATCTGATCTATGTGGCCTTCTAGACTCGTATGCAGGTACATACCTAACGTATATACATGCTTGACTTATATGACTTACATGACCTACATGACTTACATACATGCATGCCGTAGCAGCTTACGAACACGGACCTAATTATATCTTGCACTCAGCCTTATGAGTTAGATACCTCGGTATAGTAAGGTAGGAAGCAGGGTACGGGAATGGGTACTGGCATGGTAATCTGCGATCCAGACAGGTGGTTTCAGGACCGGGTGAGATTGGTACCTACCTAGATATACTGATTGGTGTCTCGGGTAGATTGGGTTAGGTATAGGGAGCCCTGATATAGGTTAGATATAATAGGTACGGTAACGAGACTCCCGACGCAAGAGTCTAGAATATTAACCAATTAAAACCCGGTAAATATACAATACATTAGGTACATATTCTTCAAGGGAGCCCTTTTTCTATTTCGAGGAATTCACTTTGTGAGGCTCGTATTAATACCTATGACTAGTTCGCAGTATATTAAAACGTATGATCAACGCTGCGAATTTAGTTATTGGGTAGAGGTTTAAGAAACTAAATATGGCCGTGGTGCGGGGGATTGATAAGCTGAGGCTCTTCTATACCTACTCTAAAGGTGGTGCCTGGATGATTATTATGGTACGAACTAGGTAAATTTCTTACTTTCTTCGATGCATCGCCAAGTGATGAGTGGCTGAAGTCAGGTGGTTACCTATGAAGTTTTAAAAAAAAACGTATGTTGAAAACACCGTGTAACGACCGAATTAACTATCTCTCAGCTAGAAGTGTCTGATAAGTCTCGTTATTATCATAATTACAAGGCTTAGATATTAGATATCCTGTTTGGCTTTCGAATAAGGGGAACCCCGTAGCTTTACTACATACATATTTTCGTAAAATGAAAGTGGTATACCCCGAGCTAGATATATATTATACCTAAAGAGCTATGGCCTAAATGTGATAGTTTCATGTAAAGATACCAGTGATTAAAAGTCGATATCTAATCTTAATATTCAATATACTACCGTATTGCTAAAAAAGGAGCCATGACCAGCAAATATAGGAGATATATGCCCGAGTCCTTTGGTAGAATCGAGGTAACCTATATAGGCTAGGTACCTAGTAACAAATCGATAAATGCGAATAGAGAATGATCGTGACACAGTGCCCCTGCTTATAGTAGGCGATAGGCGTTAGGCGTTTTTGGGTTTCTTCTATGGGCTTACTTGCTATCATAAGTCCTACAAGTTACATGGCATGCTTAGGTAGCTAGTAATCAAGACTTGGTTCGTCTATATTTCGGAATAGATCGGACGAGTACGTACCGAATATAGTATATTATTCCATCAGAGATACGATAATGTATTGTAACGTTGATTGGAATCTTAAAGTATGCTTCCATCGTCTTCGGACTAGATCTAGTCATTAGGTACTCAACTTATCTACTCGAGTAAATATCGTCGAGTCCACACTATAAACGTCTTACTTCTCACCTCATAAACGTTCTCTAAGTCTATGGTAAGACGGCTAGGTTAGGTTGTCTCGGGACAAGAGTTTGGACATATCAAGAAGGTGCTTAGTCTATCCGTTCGTATTATATGGCCAGTCGTAAATTTAGCCGTTATTCATAGTCGAACCCCCCTCCCCCCTCCCCATCCCCGCGATGTGAACACGCTCGGTACATCCCGTGAAGTAGCGGGATGAGTAACCCCGAGAGGCCGTAAGACTGACGCGGCTCCGGAGAGACAAGTCTTACTCCAGGTGCTCCAGGAAAATAGTCAGCGCCAGGACCCACTGGTACTTTGGTATCTTCAGGGGCTACTACCTAGGTTTCCCCGTGCGCAATGCCGCGTAGGATTATGTATTAAGCTGCCCGCTGTGATGGGAACGGAGGATGCTTGCGGCAGGGTACGTATGTATTGTGGGGGATAATACGCTATTCTGGAAACATACGTAAGTTACGAAAGTTGCGAGGAGATGCGGTGGTAAGCATCTCGGTATGTAACGTTAAGGACATGGGCCGCACGGGAGGGGCGTCCTTAAGTAACTTGGGTGATATGTATGTAAGATAGATAATATGGCGCTACGGTTTGTGATGCAGCAGGTTGCCATGGCTCCATGCATTAGATTAGGTACCTAATGTAATGCATATGTAGGTACCTGGTAGGTATGCATTCCAGGATCCGAGTTCAACATCTTTCTGGGCCGGACGTGCCGATGGATAGGTAGACAGCCGAAGAGATTTAAATGGGGATGCAAGAAGTTGATGGAAAGAGAGAAAAGAAGAAGGGAAAGGAATACATAAATTTGGTTTAGATTTGTTTAACAGGTAGTCATCTTCGTCTTCCCCGGGGCTCCGATAAGCGGCCGGGGAAATGGATGGGGCCGGGGAAGGTACGGGATGTAAGTAGAATAAAAGATTCAGCGCCACCGGGCGGCAGGAGCAACCTGCAGGTAATACCGTAATCATCCTTTATCGGCATCGGTATCGAAAACGGCAAAGTCTTGGGGTGCGTGGTATTTCATAGGTTGGTGGGGGAGGCGGTGTCTATTGCGAGCGTTGGAATATTCCAATTATGCAAGCAAGTGGCCTGGCCATATGTTGTGCCGACGCTGATAATATGTATGCCACCAGTCAAGATCAAGATATTTCGAAACTTCTTGGTATTTCGTAATAAGCCGTGAAATATTGGCTAATCATATGTATGTAAATGTCTTGGACTCGCTTGATAACCGTGCATTGTCGTATGCGTGTAAATATTGAACCGCATATATGCCTCTATCTCGTAGGGCGACGCGATGAACTAGGCTATCCTTGTTCCATGTTATCAGTTCGGATGTTTTCACCGTCACCACGTGGCGCAGGGATCGAATACATTGGGTACATGGCCAGGCCCCCTGGGACCTGGCCGTTAATCGGGACTCGGATCTATAAAAAAAAACGTGGGTATAAATATGAAATACGTACCTAATGAAAATGAGCGGGTGGTTAATGCGAGACCCCGGTGTCGAAAACGTAATACCCATAGTTATACGAATAACAATCGTGGGGTATTATAAATACTATTTCTAGTATGCTGCTTAGTTTGGTTTGAATAACACGCACCGTATATTGCCAGATTACCTTTCGGCATACCAGCACTAGGTATTGTACATTAGCAAGGATGCCTTCCGTACGGCAATTGGAGCTGGCCTTACGGTGGCCCGGGAAGACATGAGCGTGTTATACAGTGACACGTTCCTGTCAGACGAACCCCTGTTCAGACTGTTCTTTATGTAGGTAGGTATTAAAGGCACAGTTAGGCGCCGAGGGGTTGGTTGGCCTTGGTGACACCTTCTGGAAAAAGAAGACAGTATAAATTCGATAGTTACCTGTATTACGACACGCCTTGAATGCTTCTGAAAAAAGAATGGGATTGATCGCTGCTGCACGAGGGGTGGGCGCGTGGCCATGCTACGTATGTGTATGTAGTGTATATACCTGTAGGAGGTATGTAGGTACCTAGATAATGTAACAGAGGTGCGGTGTGGGTTGTATCAGCTCTACATAGGATGGGATTTAAGAGAAACTCGAATAACGCACCACCATTGGCACACCCTATATGTACCTGACACACCCTAGACGATCTTCTAAGCCACGTGCTAAACCCAGTCAAATATCCCAGTAAGTCGTGCATAAACGTGCCGGAATGATGCAAGGTAGCAGGGGGAGGTCCCATCTGGCAGGTTGCCAATCCGTCACATCTCAAAGCTGCCAGGGACATGAGACTTGGCAAAGAGGCGGTTGGTGTGGTTAACACATGGTAGCCAGGCACCGTCGTGTTGTAGGGTAGCACTTATTGCGCAACCGAAGTGCGCTGAAACTCCCCAGCTCCCTTGGTCTAGTCCAATAGACGTAGAGAATGTACTTCATAAAACAGCTCAACTCGGACGCGGCAGTGATGTGTGCGCGATGAAACAGCAACCACTATACCAACCACTATACATAGGTACTTACAGAACAGGACAAAATAGGAAGGTCGACAAATGCCATCTCTTGGTTCCCTAGGTAACATTTATAATAATTAGGACTATACAAGAATTCATAGGATAGTTATTCGTAATCCAAAGCGAATAGCTAGAGTGGTAGTGGTAGTAGTAGCGACGGCAGTATTTTTAACCCTCGGGTTGAGTTTCGCAGGAAACATGTCTGTCTTTACTATCCTTTAATTAGTTAATAGCATAAGTGAAGTCGTGCACCTCTAAAGACGTTATGAAGCTGTGTATCAATAATAACAGAGAGCTAAGCTTCTGGTAGATTAACAGGTATTGTACCTAGTTACCTCCTAAGAGGTACCCAAGCTAGCCTGCTTGCCGTTGTACCGGTCGACGGACTGCCCGATTGGACGATACCATGTGTATGTGTATGTACATGTGTATTGTACAACTGGGTACTGCCAAGTCGGGGTTGAGCCGCAAACCCCTGACCTGAGCTTCAGGGCAGGACCGCGGATCGCTGATCTATGTATGGGGAGAAAGGTAGATTAACTTTATTTATTGCCGCACGTGGGAGACAGGGTCTAAGGATTACACTTATGGGGACGATTCTCAGGGCAGTGCCATGGTACAATACTGTTGTTACAACATGTGGACCGATGACTGCGCCATATACTGCACCTTGCGTTATGTTGCACTAGATAATCCGTAGAAAAGGGACAAAAAGCAAAACTTTTATTGATGAATTCTTTTGATGAATCTTCTGGAATAGGAAAACACGACATCCTACTAGAACATCCTACTAGTACATGGTGTCTAGGAAATAAGATAAAGGGGTATATGTTACATAGAAAATAAAAAAGATAAATTAAAAAAAAGCCAAGACGTGGAATATCCCATGCTCGAAATCTACCTCCCAGGTGTACATTATAAAGGGAATTTTTCGTGTTGTACATGAAGTCGTTTAAACCCCACCACCCTGCTTGCTAACAAGAAACCCGAAATCCTTCGTTCGCGAGTAGAAAAGTAAAGAGATAGATAAGAGACCTCCACTCCACCTCTAGTAATTAAAGCCTAGGTAAGTAAAGAGAATACATTATAAGGGATAACCAGTCAATCACTCCTTGCCGCCCAAGTATTCATGCAGTAGTAAATGGTATCACATCCGCTTCTGGCACGCGTCTGCCAGATGAGCGGTATTGTACATAATAGTCGTCAAGTTGTATTGTAGCATTGCAGCATAAAGGTGGCTACGTGGAACTGCCACTGCCGTTGATCGATCCCTTCGTCGTGGTCGAAGTCGAAGGGAGTCGGGTTGTTAGGTCCGCAAGCTTTTCTTTCATAGTTGCTTTGTGGTCGTGAGAACCAGCTCTACCGCTGAGGTGGCGTTCGGTAAAGCTGTCTGTTCCTGGTTGCTGTGCCATGGCGAGACGTTGGTCCCGCATGCTATCTCTCTCCTGAGGAGATCCGGTGATCGGTCCATGCCTAAGAGAGTTTAGAGTTAGTGGTGAGATTGCTAGCGTTACTGGGGAGGATTGAACTCACGGGCCAGATGAACAACCGTCGAGGTTGATTCCGATAGAGGAAGTTGTGTTGACCATGGCGATAGGGTATACTCTGGTTTGCCGAGATGATAGGACTAGGCTAAAGATCGAAGACGAAGCAACGGGAGGATCTCGGAGGAAGTAATTCGGTTGGTTTTATAGCGTGTAATAGGCGTATGTTCTTGGTATGGGAATTGGACTTTGAGTAGACGGAAGTGTCTGTCTTTGAAGTTAGAGCCAAGCAGGTTGGAACTCTCAAAAACCAGATGGTGAAGGTCCTTATTTATGAGAGATGAATTCTACCGTGGTGAGAGTACCCCAAGTTTGATTATGACTTCCGACCCCGAAGGAATTATACTTGACAAATTGTCAGTGATCAACGGGAGTATGTATAAATGCGGCCCAGACCTGCATGCCGAAACGATTCGTCTGAACGCATACGGTAGACACTGCAATGTGTACATAGAGAAGCGGGCGATGAGACGGGTAGGCAACGAAGGTACAAGACCCCTCCAAGGACGGAACGGTAAGCGCAAGTATGAGAGAGAAGAGCACACTCCCCACTTATATCTATACTTATACTCCTTGGGGGGAGGTGTGGTAGATATCCTGGGAGTGGAAAAATGGGGAACCCATTTCGAGAGTGAACGGGTTGACGCTCACTCGGCGATGGGCCGGCTTCCAAGAACTGTGGTGCTGTGTCGGTATCAGCTGAGGGCCAATATTCCTGGGAGGAGGGGGCAAGACGACATTGTCCGCCAGGAAACTGAAGCGTAGGTCCCATGTTCGTTCATGTATAATTGCTATGATAATGTGTATCAATGTCAAACTAAGGACAATCCAAAAAGTATCTGCAGTAATTTAGCGGGCCTGGGAACGGACGGTGTCTCTTTAGATGAGTGCCGGCTACAAAGTATAATTTTGACTTGGGGCTATGTACATGTATATAAGATATAAGATTAGCTAATGGTCACAAGAGCAGCATAGACTGCGCAGCATTGCAGCGGGGAAGAAAGGCTAGAAATGCTGAAGAAGGTGGTTCGCGGAATAGACGCCTCAGCCTTATCCCAGAAATACCTACGCTGTGTTCAAAGTAACGTACCGATGTGGATGATGTAACACCGTATCTACATATAGAGAGGTAAAAAGATGGATATATAATACCTGTAGGTACCTACGTACGTATTGTGTAGCACGTCTTCGAAATAAGTACCTGTCAGGTAAGTCATGTATGTAATCCGTTAATTTAGCCCGGTCCTCCCGGGCTTCGTTGACTTGACAATGTTGAGACAGCCAGCCTGGCGGCAGTCAGCGGGGAAAAGTCCAAGACAGTAGGCCAGCCCGCATATACCTGGCTAAATTTGCCGACCCAAAATAGTACAACTTGAAACAATAACTTCGAGCGTCATCTGTCAAGACGAGGGCATGTGATATACTAGTGAGATGAGATTATTATCCCGGATGCAATTACTCATCTCCGGACCTGAAACATACCTATGTAACCTGTCCAGGGCCCCGGGGGTAAATTAAGAAAAGATTGAAGATTTTCGAAGTCTGAGTTGGGTGGGTGTGTGGTGAGGTACCAGGTCGTAGGTGGTATTGGGGTCCAGCCTATGTAGTTGGTGGTCAGCAAAAGTAATAAGAACGACTTATTAAACCTGCAGGTACATACAACAGAAACCCCTGCATTACCTTAGGTACTCTCGCTTCCAAAATTGTGCAATTCTAATACTTTAAAAACTTGCCTCGTACACGCCTCAAAGTTGTTGACTTTTAAACAACGTTATCGTCCTATAATATATCGATCAGTTAGGTCACAGGGACCGGAAACTCGGTAGAGCTCCACCTCCATGCAGTCGTTCTTCGTTTATGAAATGAGATGTAATTTATGCTAGGCACGATAATACATGAGACCCGGCTGGCTACTTCCCCTGGGTGTCGGGTTGGTATACTCACCGCAAGAGAGACAAGGAATAGATGTTATACCATGCTGAGCCTCATTTACAGCATCAAGGATGTCGCATAAGGTCCGCGGATTCGTGCTCAAGAGGAACTATACAATTCATTTCTCTTCATTGCCAAGAAGGCTAGGCTCCAAAGTTGTCGAATATTACTTTCTGTCAAACGCGTTAGCTGCTCTCCTCGAAATTCTTAGCGATATCTCACGGACCGACTGGGCTCTGCCCGTCAGGGGGTGGTAGAGCACCTAAAGGTGTGTAATGAAAGTCGTCGTCCCTGTAGACCCAACTCCAGACCTCGTTGTTTAGGTGCTTACGATTGGCGTCGATTAGATCCCATAAGTGGTTATACGCCTTGAGCACACGCCCGTGCAATTTCGTGTCCGCGCAATACGCCAGCCCCTCGTCCTCGCATCGCCCAAGCTGTCTCTCCAACCCTACAGCCATCATCGCGAGTTGCCAACCCCAGACCACTGTACCGTGATACGCACTTTCCGTAAATTCCTTTATGTTCGCGGATCCATCACTGTAAGCCGGATTTGCAACGACTGGCCCGACACTTGTAGAAAGACCGAGGGGGAATTGGCGCAGGATATTATCTGTCACTTGAGAGAGGAAAGAGGAGACTTGGACTTGGTTAGTACCATTTAGAAGAAAAAGCCGGAAGCAGTCATCTGTATTCATCACCTGGACAATTGATTGTCCATCACCGGCGAGGGCTAAACCGTGGAATACAACTGGCGAGTCCAAGTCTGACGAATTGACCTTGCCTGGGAACTTTGTCTCGTCGACGTAGCGCTCAACAAGACCTCGGGCTTTCTCTGCCGTAATATTGACCTGGAAGAAAGAAAGGGTACCATCTTCCCAGAGAGTGGCACGCTTATGAGCAACCGCACTCCAGTCTGAATGTGAAGGAAAAAATCCATTGTCAGATAACGAGGCGATGGATTTGAGTGCTGCTGGAGCTAAAGCGGTATTCACGTCGTATGGTATACGCCCTCCGCCTAAACCGTTAGGACTGTCGCGCCATTGCCCTACCGTCTGTCCCTTGTTGATACGGATAAGGTTCTCTTTTACAGGAGATTGCTCGAAGTTAGCGGTGAGTTTCATAATCTTTTCCGCGGTAGCTAAAATAAGATCTCTATATGCGAGTCCACGGTTTGCGGAGAGGACGGACGCATTCCTAGAAAAGAACAGGCCGCGGCGGGTTCTTCCAACGGCAGAATTGACAAAATACTCATTGATTGCGATTAGAAGAAAGAAGTCAGTGTCAATCATCTTATAGTCGCATAAGGGGTCTGCGCTATCTATCCCCTGCTGGTCGTTCAAGTATGATGCGTAATCACCAATGGTTTCTTCGTGACAGACGCTGCCATCTTTCGAGTTAATTCGCTCAACGGCTGCCTCGAGGATAGCCTCGATTGCGCTCCCGTCGCCCTCGCTAAGTATAGGTTTGAGTAGGAGAAGCGATATTAGACTATCACGTCCAAAATAGGTGAGGAAACGCCAAGCTCCAGCTAAAATCTTTGAGCGGTATGATAAAAACGCAAGCGATTCTACCTCCTCCTGCTTTTGCGATATGATAGACTCAGAAGCGGGGTTGATGACTCTGGTGGTTCCAAGTTGGTCAAGTTGAGGATAGCTGGTCCAAGCATTGAAGGCGTAAGTACCGCTTACAAGGCGAGGCTGGCCGTCTTTGATGGGGATAGAAGTACTATTAACGTTGTGGATTGTCAGGAATGTCTCCGTTGTTCCGTCAAGCCATACGCGATTCAGCTGGATACCCCCATCGGGCAATGTTTGAATCGCGATTGCATCTTGGATCTTAGGTGAAAGAGTGCTTGGTCCTTCGACAAATTCTCGTATCGTTCTAACACTTCCTAGAATAGCCAAGTCAAGTGTAGCAGATGAGTTGAGAGAGAGAATACCGCTTACTCCGCCAACGAGCGGATTTAATGTACGATTTACGCCAGCAAGATTCTCAAGCTCTATACCGAGTGTTCCGTTGACGCCACTTTCCGGCGAGAAATATAACACAATCCCGCTATTACCAGCTGGCCAAGCGATCTGATTCACATCAGTCTCAGCCGTTGTGTAGTAATTAAGGAAACAACAAGGGCCATAATTCTTACTAGAAGTCTAGGACCGATAGTCTTGAGGTCGCTATCAGGTAATGGACTAGTCACAACGACTTGGCTTGCACTGCTACAATCGGCTGCGAAGTAATTATCATATGGAGGATCGCTCAAGTGGAGATAGCTGGATGTACACGATTCCTGGCCGGCCTCTTTAGACGGCAGTTTTCCGTCTAAGTCAGGTTCGGGTAATGATACTAGTTTTCCGTTTTCGCAACTTGAAAGTTATAAGTAAGCTTACCGTAGTTACATATATGGCAAATGACTTACGAGAATAGGTGAGGCAGATAGCAGTCGTTACCACACTGCAATGTGCGTTTCTTGTCGACAACCGGACAAAGAAAATTGCTACGATAGCATGTATGCTTGATGATTTAGAAGTGGCTTCTTGGGTCTTAATAAAGAGTATTGCCTTAAACTCACGTCATTAATGGAATATCTTGAACTACCACAGGGTAGTAGGCCGTCAACTCGGGGTATAGAAGTGGGATGACGGCGAGGTAGCAATACTGCCAGCAACAGGCCAGCTAGTATCGCCAAGAAAATCGCGTATTGACATGACTTATTTTGCCACGAAGCGGCGTGACGATAGCTTCTTGCTGCCAGTCTTGGTCGTCGTGAAGCTGGGTCAGAGCTTGGCTCATTGCTCTCAAGTGGAATACTTAACGCATCATCTTCGAGTAAAGCTTGGTCGTCATCGTGTGTATGAGGGAGTTTGACGGCCGACTGGTACAGAGAGCCAACTAATGGTAGCCTCGCCAGTCCCGGGAATTGTCTTATAGACATATTCTGCTGTAGTCGCGGATCGGGGTGCAGCTATGGCGGATTAGGTTCATAATAGCTTAGTTATAGAATATATAACAAGAAAGATCTCATCGACATAAATTATTCTTGACTCGATATAAAGAATAGTATGAGTTATATGATATAATAAATAATACGGGTTGAATGAAAGCTACCTTAGATGCCTAACATATGACGCATTGAAAATGAAAAGTGAAGAAATGGATGAATGTAGTTGATCGCGATTAATGTAGTTGATCGCGATTGCGCGTCTTAAGGGAACTACGGATCAGTACACTGTAATAGGTACTTGACCTAACCCTGCAGGTGCCTACCAGAAATTCGGGTTAGCTGGTAGGGTCCACTACGCTACCTAAGCACCCGGGTATCCGACTTCCAGAAGCTTAGGGTACCCGGTCTGCCGGTACAACCCCTAGATACAGACTCGGCCGAATTCTTCTTCTTTATTATGTATCCGGAATGAATAAACGGAAGGTTTGTAATTTGTACCTTCATCTATTTCAATCCAGGAAGCTTTATGTACACAGCGCATTAACTGAACTTGTTTGCAATATGACGTGAAGAGTCGTCTTTACTTTATACTACATGTCATGAACAGCAGTACTGATAGTCTACATATTCAACAAGTTAAAAATAAACCGGCCATCATAGAGAATTAATAGTCTATGATATGACTACCTAAAATACTATAGAGCCGTTCTTATGCGCCATATGGGTTCAAAACTCGTAATATCACAACGTTATTCTTCAACTTGACCAATTACAAATAGGTAAATCTATATAGTTACACTATGGACCAAGTTGACCAAACCAAGTATGACCTCTATACTCTACCCTCATCAACTTCTCCTTTTTCTTATAGTTAACAGTCCTTAAAAGCCACCTAACCACGAACATCAGCCCCCACCGCCTCCTTTAACCTCGCCAACCGCCCGTCTACCCAGGCTCTATGCCACGCCTCGATCTTCCCGCCTAATACGACGCAGGTCGCCGGCTCCAGAAGGACGATACCGCGCGCGACGGTCGTGCCTCGTCTCAGAATCATCTTCTCGCCGATATTAAGCGAGTTGATGCCGATGCGATCGATACGCTTCAGTTCCAGCCCGTGCACCTTCTGGCCCTTGCAGTCCTGAATCACGAGCCTGTGCGTCGCGTTCCTCGCCGCGGCCGCGGCATTTGCCACGTTACCGTTAACAGCCGCGTTCCTACCCGTGGCCGTCGACGCATTCTGGCTGGCCGCGCCGTCCTCTTCGTCTTCCTCGTTGCCGGTGGGTAGGCGGATGATTTCCCGGCCTCTCGTTTGCTCGCCACGCGCGATGGCCTCGAGCTCCTCTACTTGGTCCCACTTGCTCTTGGACAGGTTGTCGATATCCAAGACCTGCACGGGGACGTCTCGGGGAAGTTTGATTTCCTTGACCTCCGGATTACCCAAGTTGGATGGAAACGCTGGCGACGGCGACTCCCAGAGGCCCGGACTCGTTAGGTCGGCTGCTAGCAAACGCGTTTTCACGGTAGCTATCAAAGCGGGCAAAGGAGGCAGCGGGTTTCGGTTTGGCATAGCGCTCTGGATCCAAGTCAAAGATGGAGTTGGCAGCCCTTGGTTCTGTAAGCTGGCGCGGATTTGTACTGGTAGGTCCGAACTCATGGTGATGGTGAAAGACGTCGGGTGGTGACTAGACTTGTGCAATATTTCATTTTTCTCAGATTCATACCTCTTGAGAGATCGGGGGGTCTCATTCGTAACTCAAAAACTTTCTCGTGGTAATTTGGTTATATAAATTTCATCTTCGACAAACAAGGAATGGCATGAAGGCGATGTACCTCCAACTATTTAAAGTTGATATATGGAAGTTAATATGAGATGAGGTAATGTACTCGTGCCACGCCCCACTTAATTCTGGTTTCGCAAGCGTATACCAGTCTTAACTGGTGCTTACCACTATTATCCACACACCACAATTATCCC